CTCTTCTCTTCTATCTCTCTCTCTCTCTCTCTCGCTCTTTCTCTCTCTCTCTCTCTCTCTCTCTCTCTCTCTCCCCCTCTCCGTAATAGGCTTTTACTACCTAGTGGTCAACTCGGGGAACGCCCGGAGCCTCTGAAATCATCCTTTCTTATCTAACCTTTGTGCTCGCCGCCGCACGAGTTGGAACAAAGATAATTGTTGTGGGGGTGTTAGGTAGGACGGAGGGGCTTAGCAGTTGCTAAGTACGCGGGGCCATGGTAGGTCGCCCGTGCGGGGCCGGCTAGACATTGCGGGCAATCAGAGAGTCATTCAGTTGCCATTGGAAGCTGTGTTGGATTTGGGGGTGGGGGGAGCTTGCTGGAACTGATAATGATATGTCGAACTGTGATTATATGATATATCAGTCATTAAAATATGTTGATTATCTTCCTGCAGAACAGTTCGGCCGTTGTGCGTGTGTGCGTGCGTGCGTGCGTGCGTGCGTGCGTGCGTGTGTGTGCGTGCGTGCGTGCGCGCGTGTGCGTGCGCGTGTGTGCGTGCGTACATTTCTCACTAAATCAGGGAAATGACTAGTATATTGCTGGTATTGCTATGACTTTCCTAGGTGTAGTTATTATGTACCCTTCCAGCATCTCTGGCAGTTTCCATCAGTTTCATCTTTGGCAGCGAGTTGCAGAGTGTTCAACTGGATGATAGAGAGCGACAAGTACGGCGTGGCGGCGGGCGTACTCGGCGACACGGAGTCGCTGGAGCCGCCGCTGCCGACGCGTGACGCGGCCGTCAAGCTGAAGCGATCGCACATGAAGCCTTCCACGACTCCGGCGTCACCATCCCCGCACAGAACCATGTGAGTGGCGTCTGCTGCTGCTGCGCACGCGCGCGCGCGCTCGTTTTAACTGCCGCGTCGCACCGCCGCCGGGAGCGGCGTGGTTGCTGCCGTTCGTCTTCCTTTTACGCTGCGCGGTGGCGGCGGTGTTTCCCCGGGGGCGACGGTTGTATGGGAGTTGTTGTTTTTTTCTTCGTTTTTTTTTTGCGGTAGCTTATGGGTTTTTGGGGGGTGGGAGAGGCGGGCACTGCCCCAACCCTTCGCCTTTATGTGTTCTCTTGTTCCTGGCTGGCTGCGTCGGTCGGAAACCGCCCTGGGTGGAGTTACAATACGGTGCGCTGTTATGTGCGCTGAAACACCGATGTGTTTCTGTGTTGGCGGCGTCGGCGGTCGGCGAGTACTTCACTTAGTTGTTGTTGTTGTTGTTGTTGTTGTTGTTGTTGTTGTTGTTGTTGTTGTTGTTGTTGTTGTTGTTGTTGTTGTTGTTGTTGTTGTTGTTGTTGTTGTTGTTGTTGATGTTGTTGTTGTTGTTGTAATTAGCGGTTGTTGTTTCTAGGACGCGCGGCCTCACGATGGGACCGTGGCTGAAGACGGAGGGAGTGCCACAGCCCATGCACCCCGTCCCACTGGTAAGACGCGCCTCTGTCTATCTACGGGCGTCGTGGCGTCTCGCTGCGCCTGCACTCTTCTTAAGCAGGAAGTTTTATTTCGCTTTCCGCGGGAGCGCGATCATGCGTGTTCAAGCACGCGTGTTTTGATGCCATGACCACCGCGTGGCCCCGGCGCCAGATTGCGTATCCAGGCGCCGCGTGTTTTCCAGATTGCGCAACCGCCGCCCACCTGCATCATTCATTAGCCGCCGGCCTTTTATAACGAGATGATGAATATTTCAGTCTCATCTTCGCGTGGTCTCGAGGCAGAGGCTCTTACCCGGGCAGACGGCGGCTTAGCGACCGCCTTGTCGGGTGTGCACCACCTCCGCTCTCTGTTCGGTTACTCACTCTCGTGGTGCGCGCGCGCCGGGTTGGAAGCCGTTGTTCCGTGTGTCTTCGTGTGATGTCGAGTGCAGCAGACGTATGTGAATCCCCGCTCGCGCGTGCGTGTTAAAAGAGTTAAAGATCCGCGGCGAAGCTCACGCGAGGAAATCCGCGTCCCTCTCCTAGCGGCGCGCTCTAGTGGTACCGATGAGTTCGGCGCGCCAAGGAGCGTCGGCGTCGGCGCGCTACGGAGCGGACGCGCTCCTGCGAAGGTAACGTACCGCGTTCGCTAATGCTCACTTGTCGCGTTTGTTCTGTCACCAGGAGTCGCCGGGCATCGCGGGGGCGCCGCTGAGTGCGGACGGCACCGTGGAGGAAGCGAAGAAGAGACTAGAGGACGAGACGAAGGCAAAGATCAAATCGAGGTTAGCGCGCGCGAGCCATGGTCGTCGTCGCAAACGATCCTTATTATTATTAAATCTTTATTGCATGTAATTCAGATAGAAATGCATGCACTGATGACAGTTTTTTTTTCATGGAGAAAAAAATCTGATAAAAGCCAAATCAGCTGTTGAGTAAGTTAAAATGATAAAAGTTTCTGACGGATGCAGTACATATACAATGCTATACAACAATGGAAGAACAAAATATCTCTTGTATCTCGCGGCTTCTTGGATGTTACAGCTTGCGAATAATGCAATCGTTTGCGTCGTACGCACGCGTGCCGTTCCATGGTGGCGGTTGTCGTCTGCCGGTGCGACACGACGATTCGGGGGGGAGGGGGCGGTGTGCGGAAACGAATTTGGTCTCCGTCGTTAGTCTTAGCGATTAGGTTTTCCTCGTAGAAATTGTGTACGCTGCGGAAAAACTCGTAAGCTTTCACTGTTGAAACTGACGGTTAAGACTAATGTGAAGAGTAATTTGTTTCTGACGAGCGCGCATCCCTTTTGTTCTAATCTTGGCTCTCAAGTCGCGGCGCAATCGTTTGCCGTTGAACGAGATGATTCATTGATTTCTGTTTTTTGTCGGCGTGTTTCGTTTCGCCATATCTCATTTTCTGAAATGTAAGTGTCGTGTCGTGAGTCCTATCCTTAACAATATGGCTTAATAACACCCACTCACCTCGATGCATCCCCCTCCGTCCTACCTCCATCCTCCATCCCTCTATCCCGACAAGATGCGCTTCCTAACACCCAATCACCCGCTCATCTGCCCCCCGCTTTCCTCAACAAGATGCTTCCTGTTCTCACACCCTTCGTCTCCGCTTGCAAGAAGAAGAAGCAGAATGCTCATGGTTCCAACGCCCTGCGCCCTGTTTCCGACATCCTACCCCTCCCCATCCTCAACGAAATGGCTTCCCAACCTGCGCTCGAACGCTCAGCTAATCCTCTCCCTCCCGCTTGCAGGGCAAGAAAAGAAGACTGCGGGGCAGCAGGGGGCAGCACTTCGAGCAGCCACGTCGTCTCAGTCCGGCCGCGACTTCACCGTCATCGGCTACTACTTCTGCGGCGACCCGTTCCTACGCGCACGAAGCTCGCGGGCAGCGCAGTCATCCCTCAGAACAGTTCAAAGGGCCTCATCAGGAAGAAAGGAACCTACACAGTAAGTAGCGAGTGGGAGAGGGCGAGGTGGGGAGGGAGACGAAGATAAGGTGGGGGTGGGGAGAGGGGGAGGGAGAGAGAGATAAGGTGGGGAGGGAGCAGAGAGCTAAAGGTGGAGAGGGGGAGGTGGGAGGGAGAGAGAGAATAAGGTGGGGGTGGGGGAGTAGAGAGAAGGGGAGGTGAGATGTGGGAAGAGAAAGAGAAAGGGGGAATGGAGAGAGATAGGGGGATGTGGAGGGAGAGAGGGACAGGAGGATTGGAGGGGAGGGGCGGGGGAGACGAGGGGGGGGCGTGAGAGAGGAGGGGAGGAGGGGGGGGACATGAGGGGGAGGGGGGGGAGGCGGGGGCGGGGAGGAAGAAGGAGGGCGGAGGGCAGCCAGAGAGGCCCGGAGGGGGGGCGAGGAGCCGGAGAGCGGGAGAGCGGAGACGTAGGAGAGGAGCGGGCGAGGGGGGCGGGGGAGAGCGAGAGGGAGGGTGGAGAGGGGGCGAGGGGCGGCGGGACGGGAGGGAAGCGAGGGCAGAGCGGAATGCGGGCTGGGGGAGAGGGAGGAGGAGGGCCGCGGCGGGAGCGGGCGGGGAGGGCGGGTAGGAGGAGAGGGGAAAGGGGTAGAGTAAGAGGGATGATGAGAGGCGAGGGTCGGACGAGAGTTGGAGGAGAGAGAGAGAGAGAGACAGACAGAGACAGAGACAGAGACAGAGACAGAGAGCACAGAGACTTGAGACTGAGACTGAGAACTGAGAGCAGAGAGAGGGGGGAAGAGAGCAAAGAGAAAAGAGAGAAGAGAGACGAGAGAGAAGAGAGCAGAGAGAGAGAGAGAGAGAGAGAGAGAGAGAGGAGAGAGAGGCAGCGACATGGCCGCAGGTGTTGGTGAGATCGATCCTCGCTGGCTGTGCCGCAGGGACTTCTCCCTTGGGCAGTGAGGTCTTGTCTGTGCTATAGAGCCATCACACTGAAATGGGTGAGGGGGAGGAGGAGGAGAGAGGGGGAAGAGAGGAGGGGGCGAGAAAGATGGGTTAGGGTAGGGGGGAGGAGGAGGGTAAGGAAGAGGGTGGTGGAGGAGGAGGAGGAGGAGGAGGGAGGAGAGGATGAGAAAAGTGAGGAAGAGGGTGGCGAGGAGGAGGAGGTAGGGGGGAGACAGATCGGGGGTGGGTGTGTGGTGGCGGAGAGGGGGTTGGTGGGTGGACTGGGTTGTGTGGGTGTGGGCTGAGTGTGTGTGGGCGGAAGAGTGGGTGGTGTGGGTGTGGGTGGGTGTGTGGATGTGTTGGGTGTGTGTTGGTGTGTGGGTGGTGTGGGTGTGTGGGTGTGTGGTGTGTGGGAGTGTTGCGTGGAGTGGGTGGGTAGGTGTGTGGGTGTGTGGGTGTGTGGGTTGTGTGGGTGGGTGGGCGGGATATACCTGGCTGCTGGATAAACTATTCGTTATCTCCTATTCACCACATCTTCGAATAAGTCCGCATCTGTTGGTCTGTTGTGGTGCCGAGGTGGGTGTGTGGTCGGCGGTGTGTGGTGCGAGGGTGGGTGTGTGGCGTCGGCGGTGTGGGGTGGTTACTGCTGCTGAAAAGGCTATTCCGTCATCTCTATTCACGCTGCGGGAAAGCTGTAGAAGAGGGGTGTTTGTGCTGCGCCTAGGCTGGCTGGCTTTTTATGATTAGTGCAATCATTGGCGTTCACAAGGCGGTCTTTGTTTTGTTTTTATTCGCGGTGAAGTGGCGTGTTTTCCATCTTCATGAGAGAGAGGAGAGAGAGAGAGGAGAGAGAGAGAGAGAGAGAGAAGAAAAGAGAGAGAGAGAGAGAGAGAGAGAGAAAGATAAGAGAGTAGAGAGAGAGAGAGAAGAGAGAGACGGAGAAGAGAGAGAGAGAGAGAGAGAGAGAGAGAGAGAGAGAGAGAGGAGGCAGAGAGAGAAGAGACGGAGAGAGAGAGAGAGGCAGAGAGAGAAGAGAGAAGGAGAAGAGAGAGAGAGAGAGAGAGGAGAGGAGAGAGCAGAGAGGAGAGCACGGAGAGAGAGAGCAGAGACGAGGAGGAGAGCGCGAAGAGAGAAGAGAGAGAGAGAGAGAGAGGAGCAAGAAGAGAGAGAGAGAGGAGAGAGAGAGAGAAGAGAGAGAGAGAAACAACAGAGAGGGGATAGAAGAGAGAGAACAGGAGCGTATAATTAGAGAAAACAGCGGCCACAGCCCAGGGGAGGAAATAGAATGAGGGACGCGCGAGAGAGAGAGAACAGAGCAGAATAGAGAGAAGAGAACAACGGGCAACCAGAGAGAAATAGAGAGAATTGGGAGAGAGAGGGAGGGGGAGAAAAGAGAGAGGCGGGGGAGAGGAAGGCGGGAGAGTCTGTTGTTCCCGTCCCTGGTTCGTGCCGTCGACGCGATTTTTTTGCGAAGATAATGTGAATGAATGTTGATTTTTTGCCGTTACACCTGCTGTACAGTTGCTGCTTGTCTTGTGTGTTGGATTGCTGGGGCTGAAGTGGCATTCGTGTCTGTGTGTGTCTCTCTCTCGCGCTCTCATTCCCTGCATTGAGCAAAAGGGTGGAAGACGATGAAACAGTGTGTATAGGAGCTAAACAGGGGGTTTGAGGAATCAGCTGTAAACTAATGACAGTGTCCCCCCTCGCCCTCCCTTCCCCCGCCTCCCCTCCTAGTGACTAGTGAGAGAAAACCAGTTTCTGTGTGCGCGCGCGCGTGTGTGTGTGTGTGCGTGGCGTGGCGTGCGTGCGCGCGCGTGTGTTGTAGGTGTAGGCTCGCAGTCTCTCTTCGCTCTTGTCTCTCTCTCTAATCTCTCCTCTTCTCTCTCCGTTCTTCCTCTTTTGTATCGTTCGTTCTCCTCTATGCCTTCTCATCTCTGCGCTTTTTCTCTCTCTCGTCATCTCTCTCTCTCTCTCTCTCCGTAATAGGCTTTTAGCTACCTAGTGTCAACTCGGGGAACGCCCAGGAGCCTCTGAAATATCTCTTTCTTATCTAACCTTGTGCTGCGAGCCGCGACGGAGTTGGAACCAGAAGATAATTTGTTGTGGGGGGGGGTGTTTAGGTAGGACGGAGGGGCGTTAAGCAGTTGCTAAAAGTACGGGACGATGCGGGCCGCATGGTAGGTCGGCCCGTGGCGGGGCCGGGGCTAGATCATTGGGCGGGCAATCAGAGAGTTCATTCAGAGTTGCCATTGGCAAGCTGTGTTGGATTTGGGTGGGGGGGGGAGCTTGCTGGATGGAACTGATAATGATATGTCGAACTGTGATTATATGCAGTGCATTAAAATATGTTGATTATCTTCCTGGCAAGAAAGAAAAGCAGTTCGGGGCCGTTGTGCGCGTAGTGCGTGGCGTGCGCGTGTGTGGCGTGCGTGCGTGCGCGCGTGGTGGCGTGTGCGTGTGTGCGTGCGTACATTTCTCACTAAATCAGGGAAATGACTAGTATATTGCTGGTATTGCTATGACTTTCCTAGGTGTAGTTATTATGTACCCTTCCAGCATCTCTGGCAGTTTCCATCAGTTTCATCTTTGGCAGGGGTGAAAATCAGTAACTATATCCCACGCTAGCTAGCATGCAGCATGTATGCACCCCCTCCACCGCCCGCCTGCCTTCTCCCTCCATCTCCCGCCTGCCTTCACCACCGCTGGCACTAAATACAGTGTTTAGCCGCTGCGTGCCAGCGAGTGGCTCGCAGCAATGGCCGCCATTATGTACGTCTGTCGGACAAGTGGAAGTGGTGGCCATTGAAGGCCAGTCAGCCACAACTCATTGTTGGCGTCTTTGTCCAGCCGCCCGTGTGTCCCGAGGCTCTGACCTGATTGCAGATCTTGTGCGCGTGTGTGGGTGTGTGCGTGCGTGCGTGTGTGTGCGTGTATCCGCGGCTTTTTACCTGGCCACAGTCAGCAACAAAAAGTCACGAGTCGCTCACTGGAGAAACCTCTAAACTAATTTTAAAACTTATAACGAATATCTCAATTGTGATCTGTTAGTGTTTTTCTCATGTTACCATATTTCCTTGTTTTAGTTTTACACATTGCTCAAACGAGATTACTTATTTTACACTGTGGCCCAATTTGCAGTAACAGACACTCTTGCGGGGTTTTAAATGCGCGAATTTGCATCCCGACGCCTGACTTTAATCGTATTAGTCTCACCTTGGGTTCGGGAAATTTCCTAGAAAATGAGAAATGTAGGGAGTTTATAAATTACCAGCAGAGCTGTGACTTGGTGCTTGCTCCAACAGTTAAACCCATTATCGTTGCGAGGCTAACCAATTTTAGCCAATTGCTTGCATACCAGCACGAGCTTTGCAGTCAAGTCTGCCCTGCCTCCGCGTAAAGCCACCCACTCACCTCCCTCCGCCCCCTCATCCTCCTGGTCACGGCTTATATGCGGCGTGCTGTTCTAGGGTTTAGCTTCCAATCTTCTCTGGACATTCGCCGCGATATTAAGCCGTGTGTTAAGAGTGGACGGCTTATCCCCCCTCCCCCCCCCCGTGCTGTGTTATAGCGAGGAGGCTAGGGGGGAGGGGGAAGCTAGTGTTTGCTTTCTCTGCCCACTCGCAGCCACAACCTGTTCCATAACCGACAATTACGGCAAACAACAACCAACGAACACCTCTCTCTGCTGGTCTCTAATTTGCCGCGGAGGTTGGAAAAGGCCTGTCTAGGCGGCCGAGCCAGCCCGACTATTAGTGTCCAAGGGGGGTGTGTGCGTTGCTACGATGCAGGAACGTATGTGCGTGCGTGCGTGCGTGCGTGTGTGCGTGCGTGCGTGCGTGCGGCCACTGTACAGGCAGTGCTAGTTAGTGCAGTGACTCGTGTCACGTTTGTGTGTTATTGAAGGTTATACTGACTTCAGTCGCCGCAATGTGAAAAGAAACTACAACCGAAGAATTGGTGGGGAGTTCGAGCGCATTAAAGAAGTTATTGAATAATAGTTTAGAATTGTTTTATTGGTGGGAGGGAGTACAAGAGCATTGAGGAAGTGACACCCACGTTCGCGTTTCGTAAAAAAATAAAAACAATTTTCCCCGTGTTGTTGCAGGTATTTCTTCAAGAAGGCGAGCGACGAGTTTGGAACTGGCGTCGTTAACGAGGAGATCACCGATGATAACGATATCCTGCCGCTCTGGGAGGGCAAGATCTTCGCGAAAGTCGAGAGCATCGAGTGAAAAAAAATCCTGCGGAAATCTCCCGACCCGCCGCGAGACAAGAGAGCGTTCGAGGCGGCGGCGGCGGCGTGGGGGTGACGGGCAAACATGTAAATATGAGCCGAGTTTGCGTGTTGATATTCTTCTCAGGTCGCCTAGGTTACGAAGTAAATATGAAGTCGTGCTCTAACCGTAGCCGGGCAATGGCATCTCGACGCTCGGGGGGGAGGGGGGGAGGCGCTAACCGTATCGGAGTGAGAGTGGAGGCGAGAGCAACAGTTGATGCTGTCGCAGCCACAGTTTCCGTCGCGGAGGACGAAGCAAAGCTGGGTGTGATCGTAGCCGATGTAGAGAGATGCCCACCCACCCCCCGAGATCGCGCGAGTGCCAGAACGAAACCCCCTGCTGTCGTTTGCGTGAAACTTGGTTGTGTATAGGACTGTACAGCTATTGTTGTGTCATGCTCGTGCGCGTGTGCGTGCGTGCGTGCGTGCGTGCGAAGTTGTGACGGACGTAGAGCCCCGTAAGGGATGTGTATTCGATAATGTACGAGATTGTACATGCCAATGATGTGTTCCGTTTGTTTCGAGTCAAAATACCTCTTCGTAGTGAAGCACACTTTGTTTTGTAAAAATGGTTGTTTTTCATTCCACGGTTATTTTCAGAAAAGCGGAGATGAATTTTCTTTTGGCCTGCAGTTATGCTAAGAAAGATGGTCTTCCAGCCATTTTAGTTTCGGTTTTGGCTTTAGCCGTAGAAGGCGGCCGGCATTAAATTCATAGTTCTGTTTGTATCCAAACCATCTCAGGTATGGACCTGTGCATAGTGCTGCCACCTGTAGCACAAAATGTGTAAATTCACGCCAATGTAGACGGTTGTGCGCGAGAGCTGTTGACTGACTAATAAGTTAATGCCCAGCAGGAAATCCTGTATCGCCGTAGTCCAGTATTCCTGCAGTTAGCGCAGCATTTCACTTATCATGTGTGGTGCACACCGGCGACCGTAATCAAAAGTGTATCGAGAGTTGTACATATAAGAGATTCCTTGTGGCACACGGTACAAGGATCACGATGAGCATTTTTTTTGTTTTGTGTTACAGTTATTTCGAGTAAGTTATTGGTGTGCAAATCGTGTACGCACGTGAGCTGGGAGCTTCTAATTCGCATGTTCAGGCTTATTTGCTCGCGTTTTCGAAAGCAGACGACTGATTTGTACATACAGAGGCGATAGGGCGAAGATTTCTGCCCTCTTTTTATTATTGTAAAAGTTTTTGCATTTCATCGTTAGGGTTTCTACTCCATTTATTTCTGTTAATTATAGCGCTAGCGTTCGCCAGTATCAATGAATTCGTCGTTTTTCCGAGCAGCCAGCTGTGTAGCAATCTATTGCTAAAGTTTTATTTAAAGCGGGAGAGAAAAGTAGGCATTCATTTCGAGGATTCGCTCCGTGTCTCACGAACGTGGGTAAAGCTCTAAACATGTGTCAAGTTTTACAAGGGAGTTCATTGTACATAGTCTTATTTTTACACTTGGCCCATCTATCTCAGACTCCATAGTTTCCTGTGCACTCTGCTGATCCTCACACAGACCTTGTTTAAAATGGAACACTGCAGAATACTAATAAACTTTATATACAGTGTATTATTTTTAAATTCATTCTTCTCTTCTCTTAACTTGTGATTTGTCTACATCTTGTATTTGTTTTCATGGTTGGGGTTGTACAGTGACACGGTGATGCGATGAGAACCCAAAGCTTTAAAAATTAGTTGTTTCAAATTACGTTAAAACAGTGTAAAAAGAATTATACTTTGCATAATTATTTCATTATCAGTAGTTCCTCGAAGGAATAGATTTAACAGTGATGGTTGGGTGAGCTTGGGCATAGTATATTTGGGAATTTATCCTAGTATAAAAGGACACGTGTTATATGTTTGAAATAGTTTTGACACTAACCCACCGTCTTAGAATGAGCATTTCGTGTGGAATTTAACTAGCAACGTGTGGTTTCAAGACAAAATAAAATCACAAAATAACAGCAGACTTAACGAAGTAACAGCGTGCAAATTAAACTAGTACAATGGAAAACGAGAACAGAATACAAAACAAAAGCAATGCAAAGAATGTTCACAAGTTCTTTCCTATGCCACCAAGAAATTGGTAACCTGATAACTTCATATATTTACAAATAAAAACTAAAAACTGAAGCAACCCACGCCATGTGATCTAAGGCGTTAAATTCAAAATTTGGATGTATTGAAATCTTTCTCGAAATATATGAACACTAATAAGGACTCATGCATTCATTAATTGAATGCGTGGATAATACCTGCTCGTTTCTGTGTAGTGCGCTTCTCACACCATACACATGTCCTGAAGCAAAAATTACCCATGTAGCCCAAAATGCATTATTACTATTAGAATAGACTTCTATTATAGTTCTATGATCCATGCATGCATGTGGGATAGTGGCGCCCTCTGCATGTAACGACTGTGTAACACGTGCATATATGTAGTTTATGGCAGCGAACCGAACATAACACACGATCATGAACATATTATCTATAAAATTGATATCTATACGTGTTGTATAGGTGTGTTCATGACACAATAATATATACGTACATATTATGCTCAGCTTTATGAATCATAATAATCTATTATCAATATTATAGAGTAAAACGCACGGATTGTACAAATTGAACATTCCTTTACCAATTTTTAATTTTTAATTAGAACAATCGTTGGCGACTGCACCCGTACGTTTTTTGTACGTTGAACGTGGAGTTGATTTTTCTATCAATACATTGTAACAAGTCATTTCATAAGTATATCATTCATTAAAGAGATACTTTACTCTAGAATTTGAGAGTATATTATGATAGTAGAATTATAAATAATAGCAAATACCTATAATTTAATATCTATAATTACGCATTCATGTTTGTCATAAAACAACATTGAATTTCGAAATCTTCATTTTTGGGCGCTGACATGACACCACTGATCTCTATAATAATATCATATAGATATTATTATAATTATTATTATCATTATTATTATCATTATTATTATACTTATAGATATAAATGATTATAATATCAATATGATATTATCAGGAGTAAGATAATATAGATCATATATTATCTTACTCCTGATATTATTATAGAGATCAGTGCATGACACCCGCGACCGTGCTGCCACCCTGAAAAAGTTGCGCATTTGCCCATTTATTTTGCACGTTATAGACCGATCGAGGGCTAATCACAAAAGTGCAATTATATTTATACCTAAATGCTATTTAACTGAACGATATTCATTTTAGGACAAATTTACCCATATTATAACTTAAACTAAGTGTCGTTTATAAGATATTGCCATCCTTCTGCTCTTAAATTAATAAATAAGAAACTCTCGGTCTGTAGCCTGCAGCCGAAACGTTGCTTTGTACAACTCTACCAGTGGGTGCCTGCTAGTGGCGCCACCGTCGTTGTAAGCAACGGTGTAGCCGTCAGTTTTAAAACATAAAAACAAATATTGAACCATAAATATTTTTATAAAGCGTAATTTTAACCTATCTTAGCTGAAAATATCTGAAGTGTGAAGCTGTGTGAAAACGTGCTTTAGTTTAGATGCGTGGCCAACGACAAAACAATTAAACTTCGTGGGCAGATTACTCCGCTTCTAAAACATGGAAAAAGTGCACAGAAAGGGCCACATTTTTATTGTGTGTGCAGCTTAACATCACTAGGCACTTAAACTTATTCATTTAAAGCTGCAGTCTTGCTTCTTAGATTGACTTAGTAATTCCAGAGCATATAAGCATATAAATCACCTATAAGGCTATATATTCGCGCATATGATTTGATTTATATGCTCTGCTTCTGGCTAAACCACATAACCGTACTAAGTAGATCCACAGCGGCCTCGTTTTACCACAAAATAGTTCTTCATAACTTGTAAATTGACTTTACAAGCAAAAATAACTTTTAATTAAAAAGGAAAAAAACCATTCGGGATATTTTGTGCAATGGCTTAAAATAAATGTATAATTATGCACTACAACATCATTAATAATGCATGCATTTTTATCCAATCAAAATTCAGGACGGTATAAACGTTCAGCAAGTGTGCTAGTTTTGCAATGCCGAACTACGGTTCAACTACGGTGTAAATCTACATAGTCATAGAGACGTTAAAGGCATTATTTAGTGTGGAAAAGGTGAGAATAGATAGATACAGACACATTACTTAATCTGTAATTGCGATAATTTTGTTTTAATACTTCATTTCTGGATGGTCCAAATTTACATTTGCCGGCCGGTAGTTCACGCGCTGCAGTGTAGCCTGTACTTGTAGTGTACACTGTACTGTACAGTGTACACCTTGACCGGCCTCGGCTAAAACTTACAGGGTGAACCGAGAGTAGCTCTAGAACTATAGCCCTCCCCTCCGCCGCAGGGCTATAGAACATACTATGGCAATTTCCAGGTAGT